TTATTGTGATTTGCTTATACGCTAATTATTTAAATGGATCATTTGTATGACGTTATTATCTTTGATCGTAGTATAGGCTTACTGGGGTCCCGCTACGTTAAATAATGGGAACGTATCGACTACGGCACCTCTTGGGTGATGTGGAAGCTTGTAGATTATTATTGTTGATGCCTTTATTATAATAAAGTAATAAATGAAACTAGAAAAAAATTGATATTTGGTTCGATTTTTTTTACCTTCAGCGTGCAGCCCGTACAACTTTTGAAGAGGTTGAAGCACTTCACGCCGGTTAAATCAGTGCTAAATTTTAGTAATCGTTTTTGTAAATTTTATGCATTATGTAATATTGGTCAGGTAATATTATTGTAAATTCATCGTTCTGAATGTTTTTATGGATTATGGGCACATGTTATAATACAAATCACCCTTCACTGCAATCAATTAATTCATAAAACTATGTAAAAACGATGAAAAATATTGAGCACTGATTTTACCGGCGTGAAACGCTTCAACCTCCTTAATACCTTGTATTTAAAATAAAATCATAACGTCCTTAAGAAGAAAAAAAAACTTCCAACGGAGAGTCTCGAACCACAGACCTCTAGTCTCCTAACCCAATGCCTTGCCTATCGACCAGTATCATGTACTTTCTATACTTTCTTCGGAACTTGTATTTCAGTAGTTAAGTCATTTGCTCTACCGCATAATTGACAGATAAACCATATGCACGATTGTCTCGAACCACAGATCTCTAGCCTCCTAACCCAATGCCTTGCCTATCGACCAGCATCATGTACTTTTTATACTTTCTTCGGAACTTGTATTTCAGTAGTTAAGTCATTTGCTCTACCGCATAATTGACAGATAAACCATATGCACGATTTTCCTTTAAATACATTTGTATGTTCTTCATATCTAAATTATTAATAAAAACAAATGGGAAGCTCCCTTAAAAATTAAGGTAAGGTCAACAACAAATAACACATAGTTATTTAAGAAAATGATTTTATATTTATTTATGTGCACTTGCATATGTGATCTACAATCCGAAAATATACATTCTCAATAGAAAGCAATAAGAGTTATAACACTGAAATTTGTTTCTATTATATAATCTTTGATACACGTGATAAATCCTAGAATTTCTCGATCATTAATTCTATTTAGAATGTTTTTTGTGTTATTAATGTCACTCGGAACAAATGGTGCTTGTTTCTTGCAAACAATTTGCGCGTGCGCGCTACAGTCGCTTTTAGTACAAATCCCCACTCATAGACAGCGCCACAAGATAGCTTGGGATTTTCGGGGCGCCATCTACCCGCCGGGATTGGAACTAAAACTTTACTATAGTATATGCCTGACATACCCCCACGACGTCCTCCGCACCTCTATACCTATCTACACTCAACGGTAGTACCAATCATTTTAAGACACAGTAAGGGAGGGGTCAGCTTGAGTTTGATTGGTTATGCAGCGTACTTCCCCCCCTCATTTTGTCTCACGCCCCTCACCTATAATATCAGTTTATGCTACATCTATGTCTTTTCTATATCTATGCAATCAAATGTATATAACAGGGAGTCGATTGTTAAATCAAATGTAATGAAAATACGAAAAGTAAATAGCTGTTAGCCAATCGCGTGTTAGGGTCGAAAGAAGACAAGTACAACGATTGGCTAACAACTATTCTCTTTTATCATTTTCACTACATTTTAGTTACATATTCGACCCCCAGAGAAGCAACGATTCACTTTACGCTCTCGACTTATTTTTCGAACATACTTGTAGTACTTCGGAGCACGTAAAAACGCTTGCACGAACGAACCTATTGCACCGGGTCTAAATAAAAGTTAAAGTATAACTTCAGCACAGCTGGTAAAAAGTTTATTCATCGTTTCGGAAAATTACGAAGAAAATAGTGAAATAATATCAATGGGTGAGTATGCAGGAATGGTCAAGGTTATTGCGATACCGTTCAGTAAAATATACGAGCTGGTAAGATATATAACACGACTCTAAAAGTTTTTGTGTTTTATTACAGCGGCTACCAGTGGTGTCTCTTTTGTTCTGTCTTCCATTCTGACTGTCATACTTTTTTCTGGTATGCAAATGTACAAGTGGTGGCTGACATCGTCTCAGCTGCACACTGTATTTGGTGGTTACATTGGTTCTCTACTTTTTGTATTCTTACTCACTGCATTGAGTAATTTAGAGGCTACCGTGTTTGGCAAATCCTTCCAGTCTAAACTTTTTCCAGAGGGTGCGTATATGCTTTAGAGACAGTACAGGAGACTAGGACAAAGTGGGACATGTTCACCTTAAAATTTAACTAAATTCTAAAAAATTAGGAATACTTGCATATATTCCCTTGGATAACAATATATTAATGATAGCAAATAGATTTGTAAATAATATGTAGTGAAAATACTATTTGTTTTGTATTCTGAATAATTTCACTAAATAGCTCACTTTGCCTTGGTTTTCACCATGCATATGGATTATATAAAAGGCTTAATTAATATGATATTTACGATTTGGTTTAGTGTTCGTGGCTTTGGTTGTATCGTTGATCGCCTCAGGGATGGTTCATCGAGTGGCAACAACTACGTGTTTCCTATTTTCTTTGATAGGATTGTATTATCTCAATCGTATCTCCCAAGAAACTTATTCAATGCCTGTAATATCAACTAGCATCCATTCAAAGAAGAGGAAATAATTTAGTCCATCCTTTGCAAATATTCCTTAATGTTTAAGAGCAAAGGTACGTCAACTAAAGAATGCTATTAAAATTTTTTAAGCAAAAGATATTTGTGAATAAATCACTTTAATAAAATTAATAAAAATAACTAGCATGTATTGACCAGTTATTAGAGTGGGCAAAGGAATTAATGAAAACTCCAAGTAATTCTAAAACGACGTCCATTCTTTCTGGATATATTTCCCGAAACCCTTGTTAAAATACCCTAATATATCTATTAAGGTGCTCATTAAATCTTATCATCACTATAATAATATCACTATCGAAAACTACGGAGAAGGAAGTCGTTATTGTAAAATATTTCCAACGACTCCACAGGCCAGAGAGCAACTTCTTGAAATTCATAATAGTAGTAAATGAAAATTCAAACTTTAATATATAAGTATTAATTTCGACTCTCGACATTCCATGCATCACATTAGTAAATACGACACCGACGTATAGTACCAGTTTTGTATCACCGAAGGTTGGTCCGCTTACTTGCAAAAACGTTAGAATACTAATTAGCACTAATTATATAATATTGACTTCTTTAAAATATAGTTTGATAATCCCTTTCGGTTAAGAGTACAGTCAAAATGTGATTCTAACAATTTCTATAAATCTACAAGATACCCGCATTGTAATCAAGTCTTTTATCTACTACGATTAATCAATGGATAATATATATATATTTTTTCTCATTGGTCGGTCTAAGAATAATAATTAATAAATATCAAACTCTTGGAGCTGCTCCACGTTCAAAAATGGAACTAATTATCACAACTAGCTCGTTCTACGTTCCACGGATTAATTGAATAATCCGTACTAGTATATAATAATAATAATTATAATAATAGAGGATATCGCAAAGGGCGAATATTAATATTTATCCTGAGCTCTTGCTCTCTTAATTTCCTTTTTTTAATCAACTACACTCTGCGTCCTCCCCTTGTATCTTTTTACGTTTTCTTTTCTTTTAATTATTGTGTTCCCTCAGTTGGAGAATATGGAATTCATAAAGTTTGGACCCAAAAATTGTATAATATCTATATCGGCGGTGCCCTATAGAAGTGTAACAACCGGCTTGCGTCTTACAGTGATAAGAAGAGAGGCGATGAGCGGGCAGCGGAAAATAGGATCATCCTCTTAGTTGAGTAGACAAGAGTTAAGTAAGTGGTTATCCGATGAAGGATAATACGAAATGGGCGCATAGTCTAGTACTGATAGACTATCCGCACCACATAATAGAAGGATAATCTCCATTGAGCTTGGTAAGATTCTAAGCATTCGATTTGATGTCCGACCAAGACGTCAAAAGGACAATCCTCGATAGAGGGCGGTTCAGATGTAATTAGGCCGTGCGGCGCAACAGAGTAGATTGAAACCTCCTCGGAAGTAAGAGGGATGTCTGGTATTGCTGTCCCAACGAAAACTCTTTCCGTTCCCATTGTTGCGACTGGGACGAGTTCCTAGTTCCTGAAGGGCGACCGTACGTTCTGAAAATCAAAGAACCTCTTGTAGAAATATCGCTGCTAAATGATAATCTTACTTTCTTTTTCTGCAATTTTTTATATTCCATTTAATTACCCGTGTCCGCTTCGGACTGTGGCATGAATTCCTGAAGCTCTGCTATCAGCGCACTTATCTCCTCGGAATCCTTACGGATGCTGCAAATTTCCTCTTCGTTGAAATCTGGCGTTATTTGCTTGCACAGGAGGATTTGGGATATCACGTTGCCAATATTTGAAGGACCAGCTTTACTCTCTGAAATGATTATGAATTTACACGGATTAACATACTGATTTGAAGCTTCGTAAGCAAAGATGTACTACAATCATGTAATACTTGCTGATTCGTATAATACTGTGTCATATCACTTGTATGTATACATTATGTAAGATGAATGTGTAGCGCTAGTATAGTAAGTATTTGTAACTATTGTGACAATAACTATTGTATTATAACAATGACGAATACAAAAGAAGCCGCAAACAAAAATTTTTTTTTTAAATAACCCAAATGTGTTTCCGCCAGTTGGTATTTGTAAATTACGGTCATTTCGGCATATGATTTACCGTAATATCCAGACATGTCCATTGGGACGATGCGCACTAGATTTTTGCTTTTGTAGAGTTCACGCAGGAAAAGTTGACTTACGAAGAATAGTAAAACCAAATTTGGACTGTCCGCAGGTATGCCAAGATCCATAGCACTGAAAAATATAAATTAGAAAAGGTTAAAAAAAGCAGCATACAAACATTTAGATCGTAAACGAAATCAACTTTCGATCGATAGAAAATGATGAATATCAATTTTAAATAAAAAATGAGTAATTCTCCCTCCAAAACGATATACACACGCAACGTGCCTCTATTAGATTTATCAGTCTCGGGTGAAGGATTTGTAAATAAAATTGCATTTTGTAGAGGCTAAGTTCCGTTATATCATTTGCTCCTAACTGTATAAAGTGAATAATTACAGAAACTAACAGATACTAATACTTATTAAGACAAGAAGATTAATGCCCGATAACGTTCCCGCCGTGAATTTATCAATTTCAGTAGTTACACTTTCTGCACAGACTAGAAGGATTAATAAAAAATATCGAGCGGCACTATGACGTAGATTTGGTTAGAAAGTTTAAACTGGGAGTCATAAATCTAAGGAGAACACATTGTAGGTACTTATAGATTTTTTTTCGTACTAAAATTCTATTGACACTTTTGACGTCACAATGTCTATCTGTGGCTCCACGAACTTCATGATCTAACTGGTACATTGCAGTCAACCTCCCTCCTGTATCATGCACTCGTCTTCCTCGTTTATTTGGTTGTCGTTAAATTTCGCGCTTGCAGCAATCAATTGCGATTTTTTTAATGAAGCGAATGATAATATGCATTTAATCCGTTTGACTTATGGGATTTATATTTAATTAATAGTTCTTATGAGTACGGAAAGAGGAACACTGTTACCGATAGCGATATCAATATTTGAATGCAATCATTTATTGATACATTTTCCAAAAGGGAGACTAAATCTTCAAAGTTCATTGATGATTTAGAATGCATTTGGTGATTTCCCTTTCATAGAATCATCTGGAGAAGCATGTAACTCCTTGCTAAGTTCAATAATTCATTTGCAAAAAAAGCCCTTCCGTTAATGGGGATTCTAGGGGTTGGAAACGTTCTAAATAATTGTACCTCTTAACAAGTAAAACCCTAATTGAATTAATTGGATTCTTGATAGATGCATTCGTGGCTAATTTGTAAGTGCATCGGTGACTAATGATTATTTCATAGGATCGGCAGGCATGTACGGTAAGCTCCAATGTTCGTAAACTCATGAAATCAACTTATCCAATTCGGTACAATTTCTATAAAAATTATTATTCATTCAATCTTTACAATAATCAGTAAAATAGCCAAGGAAATTAATGCAAATATGTATTTGCAGAGATCTAAATTTATTTATACATAAGCAATTTCATCAGACTTTGGGCACCCGTATTTTATTTTCTGTGCTACGTGGATTCGGTCGTTTTTATTTTGAACACAGATATCCCGGAGACGGTGCACCGTATCAAAAATTATAAAGAATGAGAGTTTTGTGTTTTCTTAGTATCTACAATAAAAAGAAATATTATAAAATTTTGTTGGGTAATCTAAACCTGTTTTCAAAAAAAAAAAACAAATACACAAAACATTTTTTCTTGATCAAAGCCCCATCGATAATTTTTTTGATTAAATTATCTCTGTATTTTTCAGGGTTGAGACTGTCTTTAGGGTTATAAACTTAAAGCCCGCATTACTTTTGTTTAATTTATTAGAATTTATTTGTTTATTTATTTTTGTTTCAGATTTTTAACAAAAATTAGTGTTCTTATAAATTAAAAAAAATTGTGATTAGAAAACGGCTGGGTGTCCCAATTTGTAATTTTGCATAAAATTCATATTTTGTCTACAGAATATTAAAAAAATTCCGTAACACCGATATCGATGAGGCTTTGGTCAGGAAAAAATATTTTGTGTATTTCTCTTTTTTGAAAACCTGTTTAAATTACTCGAAAAAATGTTTTAATATTTTTTATTGTAGATACTAAAAAAAGAAAACTTTCATCTTTTATAATTTTTGATACGATGCACTGTCTCCGGGATATCTGCGTTCAAAATAATAACGACCGAATCCACGTAGCACAGCAAATAAAATACGGGTGGCCAAAGTCTGATGAAATCGCTCACATCGTGCCAAGGGAAAACCAGCCGCAATATGTATATTCAGCAGAGATTCTGAATTACTTAAAAATTTTGTAAATTCTCGAGGATGGTATTAACTTTCCTGTTGGAATGTCTAACAAGGAAGGTCACCTTACTGTACCCCCACAACCTGGGTTGAAAAAATTATATTTTGTAGTTCACATCAAAGTATAAACCCTCACACAAAATGGGCTGCGCACTTGCATATTTAAGGGTGAAATTAATTCCTCAAAATCGGTGATTTTTTTGTTTTTCGCTGATATCTTCGAAACTAAAAAAATACGGCAAAAGTTTAAATAGCAAAGTTATTAATTTTTCAGTGTTCTGCAATAATATGTAGTTGAAAATTATATAGAAATTTTTTATTTATTTTATTTTCCTAGTTTTTCGCTGATATCTTCGAAACTAAAAAAATACGGCAAAAGTTTAAATAGCAAAGTTATTAATTTTTCAGTGTTCTGCAATAATATGTAGTTGAAAATTATATAGAAATTGTTTATTTATTTTATTTTCATAAAAAACGTGTTACTTTATACATTTTCCTCTATTTTGACATAATAAACTTAATTGTTTCGACTCAAAAGTCAATGATATCAATCTACATTCGTTTTTTCCGTCTCAAGAACTCATTAAACCGGAGAGTTATTTTTTTCAAACGTAAAACAGTAGCTGATCGAAATCTATTTTCCGAATATTCGCGACACCAGTGCGTGCACTCTTAATCGACTCCTGGAGTGGACACTGTCCAGAAATAGTTAATATAGTAACTCTTCCTAACAACAAAATTGTATTAGATATTATTCCAAAAGGAACAACAGGGCAAATACAACTATTAGATGTGTTTGATTTTCGAATATGGCAAAATTTTGTTAGGCATTTTTCAGATGTAGTAATTCTTTCCGGTAGCGATGTAAATCTGCATTTAAGAAATAACATCATCAAACTGCAGTCCCTTGTTTTACAATTAACTTTCTTGCCCATATTATATTAATATGTTTAAATATGCATGGTACAAAAGTGGCTACACAGAAAAAAGCACCCCCTGAGTTCATTAATCCGGTGACGTTTGGTTTTGGAGATAATTCGGAACCGCGATGTCACATTTGTGGTGATTTAGCTGTTATAACATGTTCGTGGTGCAAAAAACCTTTGTGTCTCAAACACTTCTTTGAGGAGTATCATTATTGTAATGAATATATTCCATAATATGAAAGTGAAGAAACTGATAAGTGCATGACCTGCTTTTTCCTCCTGTTTTCATGAGTACTACACGGAGAGAAGGATCTGGTAGAAGTTGCTAAGCCATGAAAGTAAAATCTACCAAGGGAGCATGGTACAGCAGCGCTACCAGAGGACATATTGGAAGTCTTACAAGTACCATAGAAATTTTTACCGAACCAAAATAGTAATTTTTCCGTAACATAATTTTTTGATCCTTCCCGTAGACAATGTAGACAAATAATTAAGTATTTTATGAGCTAATTACTATTCGAGAGGAAACAAGTATAATATCCCATTCAAACAAATGTTTTCTCTGAAATAGTAATTAACGGCGTGTTTCGTATACGATTGAGGTTAAGAGGTTATAATTTCCAAATGTCAATACTTATGGATATAATACGGCAATTCACGGTAACAGCCACACCGCTTACCATACTTTATAGTAAAAAGTATCAGTTTTCATATAAAAACTATTAAAAGTCATGGCAACATCTGTGATAACAAAAATTACTATATTATCTAGTAAAATTTCTTTTGTTTTATAATAATATTTGCCAGAATGTCGCTATAGTTTCCATGTACGAGAATTTTATGGTACTTTCTACTCGATAGTTGGTACTTTGTACCAGATCCTTCTCTCCGTGTAGACATCTTAATAGCTCTAATACATGAATTAAAGGCTTCTAGTAAATAAAATGAAGACATGTATATTAAATAAAGTTTTATATAGAATGGAAAAAAACCATCTGATACTTATTCGCTTGTACTAAAATGGATGCACAAAACTAAACTAGAAGTAAATGCTTTATGAGTACAATAAGACAAGAGTAGAACAGCATACCTGAATATACTAAACATATATAAGTATGTAAACATTTTCCGTTTGACAAATTTATCAATCTTGTTGAATTTTCAGGTAAAGTAAGAACTTTTTTGATGATCAGATGAAGAAAAATATATAAAAAACACGTTTTTTATGAAAATAAAATAAATACCAAATTTTCATATAATTTTCAACTACATATTATTACAGAGCACTGAAAAATTAATAACTTTGCTATTTAAACTCTTGCCGTATTTATTTTAGTTTCGAAGATATCAGCGAAAAACGAAAAAATCACCGATTTTGAGGAATTAATTTCACCCTTAAATATGCAAGTGCGCAGCCCATTTTGTGTGAGGGTTTATACTTTGATGTGAACTACAAAATATAATTTTTTCAACCCAGGTTGTGGGGGTACAGTAATGTGACCTTCCTTGTAAGTGCTTCTGATCTTGCTTCAGGGTTCATTACGTGGTCTGGTACTTCCACTGCTGGGAAAGCGTCAATTAACAAGAAGTCCAAGCGTATATGGGACAAAGCTATTTGACTCACGAAAGAAAGCATGTTTAAAAAAATAAAGAAAAGGAAAACTGAAACAACCCCTTTAATGTGTTCAGCGTGTGCGAGGTCAAACATTTGACCATCATTGTCAGGATCCTGAAATATTCTTAGAATTCAATTATCCAAAGTATGGGCTGATTCTCCTTTGATAAACATCTTTTGTCTAAAGTACTGACAACTTCTTTTCACTCTATCGACCTTATTACGTATTCTGCGCTTCTTTTTTTCTTACCTCGTTAATGGAAACGAAGTGACGGTGACTCGGGACGTTAAAGCTAATCAATTTTACCATTTGCATGCTTATAGCTATAAGCGTCGCCTAACACAAACTGTAAAATACGTATATAAGAAGACGTTTTACAGTAGAAATAAGGGAATTAAGGTAAACAAAATAAAAGAAACCAATTTGAAGTCTAGCACTTTTGAAAATTTCCAGTATACTAGTGAAATTTTTATTAGTCGCGAATTGTTTTTTCTTTTAATCGTTGCTAATAGCTTAATTGGAATGGTTGTGTGCACGCAGTATGGAACTTTGTGCTAAATGACAAAACTTCGAAGAATACTTTCGTCCTCGCATTATATTGGCTGAAAAATAATTTCTACTGAAGTTTCGCAGTGCGTGAAGAGGAAAATTATTATCCGGAAATGATTATCTAGAGGAGCTGTTATCTCTTTACGATTAAAGCTCAAATCGAAACTAGCCAAGTACTGCATGAAATATTTAGAGTTTCATTAAAACGGACCCTAGACCCTTCTTGGAGAGCGGCTGACCTGAGTATAATAAGTACCTGGAAAAGCTGCGGCAGAGTTCACCTCTGTTACTCATTGTACGACACAGTTGTAAGAATCCTCGGAACTTTCCTTTTCTTTTTATTTTTACACGTTCTATCCGGGGGCATTTCCTTTATAGTCTGTTTGTTTGCCGACGGCAGATCTTCTAGGAACCGGAAACTGAGAGGATGGAGGCCATAATGGAAACGATAGAGCAACAAAGTTTTTGCGAAGTGGATTAATGACGTGAATTATCGAAAAAATAAAATAAGTACATAATTTTCCTTATTTATCAGCGGATTGGTAGTGTCCTTATAAAATTGTCTTCGAGAAGATTAAAATATTTTAAGCTTATGTTGTTAGCTGATTGTATATGAAAGTCGTAAAAAAGTATTGGGAAATTTAGAGGACAAATTGAAGTTTTTATTATTTTGATACCATACTAACAGCTGTTTAAATATTTAATTCTTTCGAATGACCGAGTGCGACTCTAAAGTGCAGACACGTGCCGCTCCTGACGAGATCGTGGTTCTTAACCTAGTTCCACGAAATGTTTGCATATTTTGTATAGCTTGTAGACCTAATGATACTTTAATTGATAGCATATGACGGAATTGATTTCGAAAGTTATATACTACAAATCCAAGTGTCTAAGGAAGTGTGTTGTTCCCTATCCTCTCTATGATAGTCAGTTAGTTATAACACAAATGTGTGTTAAAAAGTGTCTTTCGTAGGAAGAATGGGGAATAACACATACTTGCCTACACACTTGTACTCGCAGTGTACTATGTATGTACAGTTATGGTACAGTATACTATAATAACTGCTACCTCAAAATTGAATATTGCGTGAAAAGAATTTATTAATAGGCATATTTAGTAAGTAAATAGGCATATTGCAAATATTTTAAAGCTTTTAGCGTTAATTATATATTGGGTGATGGAAAATTTTATAGGTTTTTTAAAGAAATTCATTGTCCTTTATTGATTTTCATTGCAGCAGTAGGGAAACGTCTTCTTGGTAAATGGCGCTAGTATAAAACTTTACATATACATATTCAGTTTTCATTAATCATTTGTAAATTCAGTATACAAATGATTAATTATTTAAACCGACGCATTTGAGAGGCCTTAAAAAATCTAATGTCGAGTACAGCGCTTCTTTTGTTAAGTTGAAAAAATTTTATTGGTTTTCACTTTTCTCACCAAACTTTTTGATATCTTTATTGCTCAATATAGCCTTAAATTATCTAGGTCCACAATATGTAACACTGCCTTATTACCAAGTTCTTAATTAACGAAGACGGTTCGATCGTATAAAACAAGTTGCATTTCTGAAAATATCAAAAATTAAAGACGGGCTAGAGACTTGAATATCCAAAGTAAAAATTATCATAGTTGTTTGACAAATCTATAAAGTCAATATTAGAAAAAATGTTGGAAGTTTAAAAAAATAAAAATAAAAAATTCGTATGAATGTAACAGTGTGCAATAACATTTGAATGTTGAATCGCTTGCCTATGTGTACAGCCTACTTATGATTTACAACACAAGCGAATATACACTCGAATATTACGATCAATCAAAATCGTTCAGATTCAAATTAAAATGGAGTGCCTCTCACACAGCATCACTTACGTGCATAAATTGGAATAAAAGGCAGCATTTCGTTACAAAACACTGTTGCCTTATGAGGGTAAAATGAACGAACTACTGAGCCCTAAAGAACATGGATTTCCAATTCGGAGTACCATCGATCATTAAATATTCATGTGAATCTTAATTACAATATTTTCTCGAAAACACTTGCAAAGTGACTTCGCAGCAGGAACGGCTTACTGATAAGCAAACGGCAAGCACTCTAAATAATGCCGGAAAGAACAGAGCGTCCAAGAGTTAATCTTTATCCAAAGCGTCGTTATCAATCAGTTAATCGGAATTTATGAATTTTCATTTTTGGAATAGAATACCATTTTAAAGCTATATCACATTCCTTCGTAAAAAAGGCGCTACATCGTATGTAGCTGTTAATTAACAGCGAGACAAATAAAAATGAGACGCGTCCCGTTATTCTTTTTTTCTTTTAATTCACGTTTTGGCATGCCCCCTCGTGCGTGCGAATTTCGCATAATTTCTATACAGTAAACTTATGCCTCGCGAGAAAGGCGACAAAGAAGAAAGAGTGAAGCGAAGTAAAAAGAAAATAGCAGCAACACAATAGAAATGATGATTGAAAAATGGTGGGGGTAAAAGTAAAAAATGTTGGCGTGCAAAACTGGCATAAGGGTGAGAATGAAGGGTTGACTTGCAGCCAATTCTAGTTATACGTGTATCAGTTAACTTGCAGCGCGAGACTCGATCGATAGATTATAATCTGAACGTTGATTGAGCAGCTAACTGTTGCACGGAGGTGGATTACTTTTTCTTTATGTATTGTATAATTTAGATGTTTAGCCACAATTCAAAGACATAACATTTTCGTAAAATTTATTAAATTCCTTCGACCTACCTACGCATTTGCGGCAATACCAATTGCGATGTGTTCTTACAAGCCTCGACGCAGCTTCTTCGAAGTTTTCTTATCCTCTCTCTTAACTCTGGACAATCCCGTGGCTGGCCGATGTTAATAAGTAGATCCCGAAATTGCGCTACCTGACTGTTAATATCTTGTATGTGCTGTAACAATAGAAGAAAGAGAAATAGAAAGAAAATTTTAGGTATAAAAAGAAGTAAGTACACAAATTACGAGAACGCGAAAAAACAAATAAAAAATTATCCCACCCCAATGAGTAATTTTTTAAAAATGGTGAAAAAGCATGGACACTAACCCACAATCGGTAAGACTTCTTTACCGATATCCTATAAGATAAGCGTTGTTTATTTATTTACCAGTATAATCGTCCGATCGGATCGTTCGTCGGTGCACTTGCCGATCGAGACCGTCGGCGATTCCGTCATTCTCTATTTTTCGACGACTCGATCACTTCGCTGATCGTCACGTACGATGACAATGTCAAAATCATTACGTGTCATCGTCGAGTTATCGAGTGGATAAAATACGAAGAACATAAGAATGGTAGAAAATAAATTATCGTTCATAGTTCCGTCGGTAACTGACAAATTACCATTTTAAACATCGCATCTTTTCCGTCGTTTTTCAAAATAATTGTTCGCACTTAAAAAAAATCTTGTCTTTCTTTTTATTTCTTTTTTTTTAATTTTATCACATTAATTTATTTCTCTCGTATTCTGCTTGTCTTTGTATGCTTTCCGTCGCGAAAAGGATTTCTCGATCCGTTCTCTAGTGAGGGGCGCAACAAACTAAAAGCTGCCTTCTGAAACGAACAGTTTAACCTAACCTAACCCTAAGCAAGGCGCATGACCAATTCTCTGATTCCCTCCCTCTATTACTTTCTCACTCTCTCCCAGCCATTTCGCTTTCTCTCTTTCCGAGAAGAACAGCACGTCTCTCACGCATCCTCTCACCTCTATCTTTTCTCTCTCTATCTCATCGGGTTAGGGAATTGATGACGCGAGACTGCAGAATTCTATTTTAAGGTTATCCCTCGTAGACCGAATTGAACCATGAGAATATAAACTTCTGTTCTCTCATTCTTTCCATTTTCTCTCTTTCGCTTTAACGGGTCGATGTAAAGACTTTAATATTATCGACAATTCAGCTTCGTTCGACTTTCCTTCATATTCGTAATGGAAGCGAAAAGTTTCGCGTATCGCACGGATAATTTATTGTTCTAGCAATTTCTGAATTTTATTCCTTTTATTCTTAGTGCGATCCCGTTTCGTATCTTTTATGATTTAAAAACTTTATTATGGAATGTCATAAAACAACTGTCATTAATTTAATTGCAATGTAGGGGAAATTTGTTTAAAACGAGATACATTTTCCCGTGTTATTTCTCATGTCGTCTTAGAAACTTTTTCTCTACGTACATTCTCTTTAAGTCCTGAAGTACGAAATCGTGCAACGTTATGCTGTGTTATGTCACACGTCATGTCCTTCTGTTTTCACAGAACTCACAATAATGTTCTCCGATCACGCAAAAACATATGTAAAGAATGTAAAATACAATTCTTTCTCGAAAAGTCCGTAACTCTTGCTCTAAAGTTACAGTGACGTAACATGGGAATACGAGGGTTCTCATCTAAATAGAGTGAACAATTAAATGGCAAATTGTCTTTAACCTAATAAATTGGTTCTGCCGAAAATTAGATTCTACCGTGGCAAGAGGGACGGATAATTATTTTTTCAACGAAGCTAAAACCCGAATAATCTCCGGATAATTAAGGGAAGAGTTTCTATCCGGCTTGAAAACCTGTCAAGCTTTTTATTCAAATATTTAACAAAAAGCTTTATCGTCCTACTTATGTGACAATTATTCCCATATATACCATTATTACTTACACACACACACACACACACACACACACACACTCTCTCTCTCTCTCTCTCTAAAAACGCTTTTCACCAGTTAAACCATCCTTCTTATCTGAAACTCACATGTGCATACTTCACAAACAGCAACTGTTTCTTTACGGCATTACGTTTACGCCAGTTGTCCAACGCCGTCTCGTCTATACGGTGCGACATTGCTGATCAATTGCACAAAAATCAGAATACTTTAAACGCTGTTTCAATTCGACTGTCACGCCTTGATAGTCGCAGAGCGACTGTTACAGCTACGAGGAAAGGTATCGGATTATTTTTCTTGCAAAGGGAAGCAGGAAATTCGCATCCGTTTATATTACCGCGATAAAAAATATGTGTTCATATTTGGTAATATGGTAATATGCGATGGATCAGCAGTTTAGAAGAGGATCACAGTAATCAATAGAACTGGTTTCTGGCGTTGACAGGTTACCTAACGAGGGCTCATGTGCTGAAAGGGATCGCATATCGATCCTGTACCAAGCGTGGGAGAATATTTTGTTCCGTAATACCAGGAAGCATCGGCGTCTGTATGTAAGCAGAGCGAAGAGAAAGAGAATTACGAGCGGAAGTCGTGGTCAGTCAGAAGATGGTAATCGTGTCGATTGCCAGTGACGCTAATAAAATGGATACGTACGATGTCGGATGTAAAATAAGAGCCGCGGAATATCCGGGTACGTAAAACATAACTGACGCGTAGGAACGTTAACTTTTAGGTTAGGTTAGGTTACATTGTTACGTTGATACGCAATGTTCTCTTCATTAATGTACAAAACGCAATCCCGTGAGTCGTTATTACCGTATCATTTGACATAACGAGAGACAGTCCCTGGAGTCTGGAGTTCGGAGTTTGAAGTCGGGAGTTCTCGTTATGACAAATTTTTAACATATTTTTTTTATGCTATCCCCTTTTATACTATCTCAAATACTCTTCTTTCTTTGCACGGCTACGAATGGGGATTCCCCTGAGAGCGCGAAACTGAAACTGGATAAACTACGGCGCTCCTCTTCCCCTTTTATTCCCTCTTTAAGCTGCTCTCGTATTAGTGAGTGGGCTTAAAGAGAAATAGGTAAATGAATGTAAGAAGGAAAGACGGAGATAGACAATCAAGGAGAGCGATGAAGAGAGAAGGAGATTCGTAAGGAAGAGGCTACTGAATTCTATGGTAAAATTTATGACGATATCCACTACTATCAATCATCTCCTTTGAAAATCCTTAATCAATTTCGAACGATTCGAAATCAATTCAATGCAAATTTCGTGGTGAGTGGACGACCCGGCACTTTCTTCCGCTCCCTTTTCAACTTCTTTTAACTTAAAGCTATCCGATCCTAATTTCCATATGAAAATCCAATATGACGAATAGGGCGAGACTTGCCTATGGCGGGAAAAGAAATGAAAAAAAGGTCAGGAAAAAAAATAGAAAACGTTGCGATGGGAGAGAGGAAAATGGCGAGAGCCTAATCACACGAAATAACAAAATTTGTGCTCTATCAAGTTTTTGTCGAGCATCTAAAGATATATCGTATATACAATCACGATTGTAAGCTGAGTTTCAAAATTCGTTCCAAGTATCACAGACAATGTAATGCCCGTATTTACATTTTTACATCTGAGAGAATTAGCGCTATTCCCATACGCAAAATTAAACTTATTAATGTAATTGTTAGTATTTGGTTAACAAAAAATTCTAGTCTAGAATGACGTCAAAAATTGTGTCAAGATTTAGATTTTTCACTATAACTTATTAATGTCCATGTACTAACCATTGCTTTTGTAATGACAACTATACATTTTGCTCCGTTCACGCAGCACTGATAGCAAATTTCGAAATCTATCGCTAATCTCATTTCCATGTTATTTCTGTAACGCATCTGCACGGAACAATTCCTATAACTCCCATGGTAATGCAAAATCTATTTGCACGGACATTTGAGATCTAAGAAAAAGGCCCGTAAAAGTTTCTCGGTCAGGTGTTTCCTTTTTCGAGAAGAAGAGAAGATAATAAAAGTTCTCCACCAAGGGTCGTGGAAAACGACGGAAAAAGTTCGTGGCTAAGAAGCCATTAACTTAAATACTCTCTTATTACACATAAAGTTTATAAAACCTTTTGAGGTTGCGGATATTTGAAATAGCGTTACTACGATTGTTCTAAAAGTTATTCGGCGTATAATCTTATTAGAGAAGGTAACGGGAATACAAAATGATAATATCATTATATACACTTCCGGATGGGTTGGGGCAAAATTGAGTTTATTTCCGACTTTGAGGATAGGCAAATACTTGAATCGTTTCAATTGTTTTTATATCCTTGGTTATTAACCTCACAAGTTCACTCCCAATATCAGTTCTGTCGAACGAAAACATTTCTGACTAATATATTTCTGCCTAATCTTGCCTTGCCGGTAAAGTATTATCGATTTTGGGCTAGCGTTTCATAGTTCATGAAAATTGTATTATATGAATGTATGCATCACAGGTTTACTTTTGTTCCTTGAAAATGTTTAAAATGAATACAAGACGAGAAAGAGTAATCATAGAGGTGTGCATCAGAAACTTATCAGTTTGCTGACAGGCTATTTCAAGCCAATTCTAAAACTATCCCGTGCAGCCGAGACCTCCTCTGTTTTTGGCTTAAAAACTGCACAAACCAATGTAAGTGCAAACACGAGTTAACTCGTGACCGGTCAGCAAAGTGTTAATAATGCATTTAACATATTAAATTATATGTAATTTTCACTTTGTTCGGATCCAATTGTGCGAGAACTGCAGACGGTCTGTGGTAATGAGTCGCAATGCTCATCCATCCAATGCTGCTGCTGCGCCTCCTTGCGACAGCCATTGTCATCGTCATTATTATTGTCCTCGTCGTCGTCCCCTTCAACTACTGGCATTTTTACACTATTATCTCAAAATCAAGAAATGTCATAGGTATCATCATGACTATTCACGTAGACACACATTTTTCACGTACAATCACAAGAATTCCCACTAAGCATAGAGAATGAAATTAGATAACGACGAGTCACTGATCTTCGGAGAGCGTTGCGATCGGAAAAAGGGACGTGGAAATCGTTAAAGAAGGGAGGATAATTAGAGAAATGGGCAGTCGTATTAGAAAAAGGGGGTGTTTATGGTAAAAACAGGCGTTTTCGTTGTGAAAATAGGCGTGTAAATCGTTGAAAGAGGGCGTGGTAATCGTGTAAAGGGCGTGTCATCCATAAACTAAATATCAACACAGAACCGATTAGTGTTGTTTCTGAAGGACAACGCCCACTTTGCCACACGCGAATACACGTCACTTCGAAGCGCAGTCGAATTAGGGACACGGTGCAGGAACTTTCTACATAATTTACAACGTAATTCTGTTCGATATAGAAAATTCACGTAGACAGTATTAAGAAGCAACGAAGCGAATAAACATCAGTAGGACCACGACAAAGACAAGTTATACAGATAGTGCGCAAAGAAGAGGCAGGTTGAAATAAATGAAGGTATAGCAAAGGAGGAAGGAGAGAAAGTTGTCGAAAAAACCGACTAGACCAGCAGAAAGGCACTGGGACACGTCGGGTTGTGTATCGACTAACTGAGAGCGAACTGAATAAGAGTGAGTTCTCGTTTGGCACAGCTACCCCTATCTTCTATCCCTCGAACCCTCAAACCTCCTACTACTGTTTGACCTTCTCCGAGGCCGCGCACCCTCAGCAGTCTCACCACCACCCAGGCCATTCACAATTCCGATCCCATCCCAAGTTTCGCGAAACCCGCAGGCAGTTTGACAAACCGCCCCACTTTTCCTTGTACTCCTCGTCCTTCCCTCTCGCCCGTCACCACGCCCACACACCTCGTACCCCCGAATCTGTCCTCATTTTGCGCCGACTCTAGCAGCATCCAGCATCTCTCAAACTATAGATATAGAAAATCTATTGGACCACAATACCCGACGGAGACACCAGATAAAGCAGCTACCCCAACGAGAATCGACGTTAAGCGACATCAAGCAGTCAACTTACGAACAATGTCGTTATCTCGGCCCACATTAAGATTCGCTACTCTTCATTCCTCCATTTCTTGTGTTATCCTACGAGTGTGGATAGAAGCCTCGCATTTCGGTTAGATTTGGTTACTTTAGACTGGGTAAGTAGTATAACAGGGCCGGTTTTGGATACAGATTCCTGCACCGACATATACCGACACTCTAGGATCTTCGAAGGTGCGTGTTCGTGCTAAGTTAGCAACGTGTGCGCTCACAATTTCCGGAAGTGACGTTATCAAGACCCCTCGATTCTAAGAATTTTTGCTCGATTCCGGGAATTTTGCGTCACATTTCGGGAATTTTGCGCTCGATTCTAGGAATTACACACGATCGAGAACCTTCTAGAACATTCTGGAAGCTTCTAGAACCTTCTAGAAGGTTCTACACAACAACACAAACCTTCGACGGTTTGTGTCCGTGCTAAGTCCCTGAAGATTGCTCCCAGAGCCGACGGTCCTCTCGCGGGACGTTTTGATGGAGCCCCTTGCCCCAACCCCGATCCGTGTAGATTTCAAACGGCAGTCTTCGGCCGTCTTGACCTCGAACGTTATTTCGCAGAATTGCGCATCGAGGATGCAACAGCATCGAATCCAGGAAATTTGTCAGCCATTCGATTCCAGGAAGCCTCCGTGCAGGTTTCGAATGGCAGCCCCCTCCCCGAAGCTTTCGATGACTCCCCCGACCCCCCATGCAGACTTCAGGCGGCAGCCGAACACTGTTTTGACCTTGTTATTCAGAGTATCGAATTACTCGCAAAAGATAAGCGACCCTTTGTGCACTTCGGAAACTTTTTGATGTACAGTTCGAGCTCAAAGTGCGCAATTCAGGTAGGTGTCTTATCGCTCGAACCGATGCAAAACAATTACAGGAAAACCTTGAAACCTTCGTATAAAAGGCCCTTCGATGATGCGCAGCGATCATTGTTTATTAAACCTTCAGTGCATTATTGCTATTAACGAGATGGATTCTGCAAAGTGTAAAAAGTTGATCGAGATTATGGAAGGAGCGTATAAACTTCTGAAGAAGGGTTCATCGATTGCAGAAATTGAAAAATGGACGAAATTTGGCACTCAAAATATCAGACTTTCAAACAAAATTTTGAGAAACGTTACTCTTACGATCGAAGAGAAAACCAAAATTTTAACAACGATCGGAATCCTCAAATCTTTGAACGAAAAATTTAAACAAAAACTTCGAAAAAGAGGTGGAGGAACAGCGAAAGAGAGAAGAAGTGACAGAATGCGTTGGGATCATTTGGAATCTGCCTTTAAGGGAAGAATAAGGACTGGAGTGATTGCAAACTTGCGACACAAGGACTTGGCCGTTTCTTGGAAGATTCAAGAAAACTGTTCATTGCTAGAGTGAAAAACGCACTTCGAAAGGACGGAAATTTGAAGGTGAACGTCATCTTGTCCTGCAAATTTGAGATCATGAAAGCTGGAAAGATTGTCGAAGAACAAGTTTTTCAACACTAAAAACGAAGTTATACTACCGTCCACCGATATCAGCTATTGGTTCAATACAAATGTGCGAGAAAAAAATACTGATAATAATTGAAGACTTTCAATAGAGGGAATCAGGTTGGTCATTGCTTGAAATTATAAACTTGGCGGTGAACATTAATAAATATATACCGATACACGGTGGCCGATACTATCTTCATCCAACTACCAAAGGATGTACAAATCAAGAAAGCAGTCGTGAACCTTAGAAACAATGATCCGTACTGTTTTCTATGGTCCGTTACGGCAGCTCTTCATCCAGTTAAAAATAATGTAAGCGTTATCAGTTCGTACCCTCACTTCAGCTCAGTGCTAAGGTATGAAGGTTTAAATTTTCCCATTGGTTTAAAGGATATTCCAAAATTTGAAAAAATGAATGATTTGGCAATAAATGTTTGTGAAATAGAGAGCGATAGTGGTAATGAAATAGTACCAATTTACTTAAGTCAGCAAAAATCAGATAAAAAAAGGACTCACCTACTTATGCTAGAAACAGAAATTTATTCGAATGGAGATGAAATAGATTTCACAAATTGTAATGGGTACCACTTTGCTTGGATCCGAAATCTGTCTCGCTTATTGAGTTCTCAAATTTCAAAGCGCGAGCATCGTACCAGACTGTGCGACAGATGAAGAAAAGCCGTGAACGATGCGAATACAAGTAAGGAACAACTGAAAGAAAGGCAGAGGCACAACGAGACGATGGAAGCCATCGCGTTAGGCAAAGGACTGTACTTGAAACTCTACAGAAAAGGACAGCCCTTCATCTGAAGCCAAAAAACTTGAAGTGAAACTACCACGCCGGGCGCTGACCGATGCGGATCTGCTAAAGTACGCCAAGATCATGAAGATTCCACATTGTCGCGGAGTCTTCATGCGGAACGCTATGCCGAAGGTTGGGCTGTACAAGTACGAGTCGGCAATCGTCAATCCCAAAGACGAAGATGGTCCAGGAACACATTGCGTCGCGTACAAAAGCTGAACGATCGAGTCATTTATTTCGACGGTTTCGGCAATCTTCGACCGCCGCTAGATCTTATCGGATATCTCGGTGTTGGTAGTGTAAAGTACAATTACGAGCGGTATCAGGAGTACGATACTTTTGCATGTGGACACTTGTGTCCAAAGTTCCTATGCGGACAATTAAATCGTAAAAACAAGTATCGTCTATATAAGCTTGCTATGTAATTTCACAAGGTCAGTCGAGCGTCCGCAATCATGGAGGATTCATTCACGTTGACTTTATCAGGCACCTCCTCCATACCGGAAGCTGAATACTTCCCTCCTATCGAGCTTTCCCCGTACAAAAATTACCCTCTGGGACTCGTCAAGTTTCTGACCTTCAATTCGATTCCCAACGTGTTCTGCAAGCTAATAAATTACACACGTCCGACGTACCGGTCGCCATTCTGAAGGTGAACGCCCTACGAGTCGAATGCAACGTTACGACTGGCGCTTACATCAACGATCGTAAAGTGCACACCATACACGAATTCTTTCCGGTCGTGCCACCCGGATACAAGATGATAGAGGTGCCATCGCACGTCATTTATCTACCGATCGCCACCAAGACGATAGATCACCTGCAGCTTCGGATCAAGACGATCAAGACGGGGACCTGGTAAATCTTCAAGGAGAAGTCATAACGATCAGGCTGCACGTCAGATCCATGCGATAATGGGTATCATCTACAATAGGAAAATTGGCAGTGGTTATAACAGTAGGCCGATATGCGAAAGAGGGATCAGTCGTCGATCGCTTTTCAAGGCGCTAACACGTGGAAACGTCTTGTTTCTCGAAAATCTAGGATTCAAGGTCGCGAGAGGAAAATAAAGCGTCTCTCTCTCTCTCCCTCCCTCTCTCCCTCTCTCCCTCTCTCCCTCTCTCCCTCTCAAC